TGAATTGCCTTATTAGGCGCTTGAGGAGTGATTTCTAACAAAAATTGGATTATTTTGAAGGGTACCATAAAATCACAAAGTTGGTGTTCGGTGACAGTCTGTGCTGTATCATGACGCGTTCCACTGTCTGTTGTTAGCAGGAAATGTTCAAAACGTCTTCTTGCGCAGCTACATACGCAGCCTCTTACGTAGCAAAAAGCGCAGATACGCGCGGCTTGCAACTGTGGCTGATCATGCGCCGCCCAATCATTTCATTGCAGTATGTTAGTGCATGGATAAATTAGATATTAAGGCCGTTCGGGCGCGACTTCGATGTCAGGACTAGCTTAGCCTCTACTCCTAATGTGTACTACACATGGAAATGTTTTGGTAAACCACAACCGGCACGACTCAATGTCTTGACCAGCTGTAGAGGTAAACAACAATGATACGCCACGTCTATGTATCCCCAATCATCAATTCGACTGATCGAGAAGGGTGAATGTGATATACGAGAGCTCCTTGGCTAAAGAGTCCATTACTAAGAAAAACGGTGAAGTCTATTGCAATGGTCGATATTACAGATCCTAGGGTTGATCATAACAAATGACGAGGCAGTGAGAGAGCTAGCATCGTAGTCTCATGCCCGGGGCCCACAGTAATTATTGAAAGGTCCTGTCGCAAGGTAAACAGTTGTTGATAAATAGAAGACTTTTCCCTTTTGCCTTCGTAGACAGTTATCAGTTTTTGTCACTAGAAACCTCAGCCAGTGGTCGACGATTTATTATTCGTTATGTTACCTATACTGATTTTTGCTGGTCTTACCATCGCACAGTCTTTCGGTGAGGCTCAATCGTCTCAAACATTTGTCAGCACACCTGAACTTTACGCTCCTATTCTATCGGTCAACAAATCTGATGCACAACTCGCCAATGGACTTTTACTTATGACCAGTCAAGAATATGGGCCACTCTTGATGACGGACTCCGGGGATTTAATTTGGAATGGGCCTTCAGGACATGCAGGTAATCTATTTGTCCAATATCTGGACGGTAGCCCAGTCTTAACTTACTGGATTGGAATTGGGAGCAATCTCGCACACGGATACGGTCGGGTGAACATCCTTGACACAAACTACGACCAGATATACACTATCTGCCCCAATTTGACCCTGCCCCAATTTGACCCTGACCTCACCCACCGGTCAGTCAACGGGATGTAGTCTTGATTTGCACGAGTCCTTCCTGACGACACGTGGTACCATTATTTCCACCGCTGTGAATGTTACTACAGCAGACTTGACCTCGGTTGGGGGACCCGAGGTTGGATGGGTATACGACAATCTTTTCCTTGAAATTGACATCAAGACCAACGTCATTTTGTTTGTATGTAGTGCCCTTGCAGCAGGCATCCCTATCAATTCAACCAAGCAGGCACTATCATCGACGGGTACTTCGCAATCGAATCCCTTTGATTGGTTCCATTTGAACTCCGTAACTACATTGAATGATGGCTATCTTGCCAACTCGCGGCATACCTGGTCTTCGTATGCCTTGGATTCAAACGGACGTGTCAAATGGACACTTGAGGGGTCCGCTGGCGGAGATTTTGCCTTGCCTATAGTGGCTAACTTTGTAAGTCTTGGCTATCTTAATGATGCGCATCCCATTCAGCCAATCACGCACTTGGTTCTCCAATAGTCAAATACTTACACTTCAGTAGTCTTGGCAGCATCATGTTCGAGTGGAGAACGAGACTTCGAGTTCCCTCTTACTGCACATGTACAACGACATGAATGCATCAGGCGACCTACCTTCGAATGGCCTACTACTATACCTGGATCTCGAAAACTATAAAGTTACCCTGAAAAGTCTCTACATGGACCCGAATCAGAAGATAGCCTCTACCTCTCAAGGCTCCTATCAGCAGTTGTCCAATGACAACGTGCTCCTCGGGTACGGAAACCAGGAATACTTCAAAGAGTTTAGCCTTGATGGAGATGTTGTTATGAATATCTCAGGCCTAAGTTCGTATCGCGTCTATCGACAGACTTGGGATGCTTCACCGACAGGATACTCGCCAAACGTCATCGCTAAGCAGGGTCAGGGCTGGGTCAGTTGGAATGGAGATACAAAGACGACTAAGTGGGCTATTTATGCTGGCAGCTCGAACGATTCACTATCGCTGGTTGCTGAAGTAGCACGCATTGGCTTTCAGACTCAGTTCAATCTGTCGAGTAGTGCCGCCTGGGTGCAGGTGGGGGCGTTTGCTGGAGAACTCCATTTGAAAAACTCGAGTGTTGTGGCGGTTAGTCACTGAACCGCAGATAGAAGACTAGTGGATCTCTGGTAAAATCTAGCCTATTTAATTGTTCAGAGTTAACTTATGGAATGATTTGTACAGTTTTCTCCGACCCGATGGGCAAGTTTGTTTCTGCTAGTTCTGGCAAGTGCAATAGCCCAATACCCGAACCTAAAAGCAGAACGAACAAATCGTAAAATTATGTCGTAAAAGTCAATATAGGATACATGTATGAGCCAATAACACATGTCTCACAGAATTTCGCAAATTATGCTTTTGTCTCTATAGATTCTTGCGAGTTGCTTCTAGAGTTGTTGCGGTGATTCTCAGATGCTTTTGAATAACTATAGCAGATTTCTGTGCAGTATACAAAACGCATTCAAATAAAAACATAACCCTATTACGCTCTATATTCAATATAGTTGCGTCTGCCATTAGTCTCTCGAGCGCTAGTGCTACCTTCGATGATAAAGAGCTCAGGAATTTTTTTAATAAGCAATTAAACTGAATATGAAACGTAGGAAAATTGATCCAGATTCATTTCTGTTTAAGAAAGATAGTGGGGTCCATTAGTGCGGTAGAGTTTGGAAAGTGTGAGCGAGGCGCTTTACAAATTGATACGAAGACAACTTACTTTGCCTCTTGATTACTAGTTTCGCCGCTTGCACCTATTAAGTCATTACCAAGCTTGCGATCTCCAGTTTGTCGTCAATCGTCGGGAATTGCTTGATATGGTAAACATGACGTGCAACCTCAGCAGCACCTACCTTTTCCCCTCCTATCGATATTGAAGGACAGATATATCTTGATGGCGGGTTGACGAATAACAGCCCTATCTATATTGTATACGAGAAAGTACAACGTCTCTGGCTAGCTGAAGAACCACTCATGGTTAGCATCGGAACGGGCGATGCACCTATGAAGGAGTTTGGGGAAGCTTGGTCTAGGTCGTGAAAGCCTTAAGGCTGTCGCGACTCGGACTAAGGAAACATCCATTGCCTTTCTGGAGAGCGATCCAGCGAAGCAATGACGAAAGATTGCAAATACTTCAGAATCAACGTTCCGAATATGGGAATGATTCACACCAACTTCGAGTTTTCCAGAATAGGTGTAATTTTAACGAAATATATACAAATCCATCCCAAGAAATCGATTAAAACTATCGCGAAACCGTG